GTCGTGTAGTAACAAAACACGTGCAATTAGGGTTTTATAGAAAGTGCTCAGACAGATGATTAAAAGGCATTTATAAGGTGGTTTGCCAAGGGTTGGATGAAGTTTAGAAATCTGAGCTGTTTTTGTAGAATCAGTTTGCTCTTAGCCTATGCAATCACTTTGTTGAAAGAACAGCAATCATTCCTTCTTTTATAATTTAGTCTCATTACTTTCCCAAACTGAACACCAAAATTTTCAAAGGCCAACTCTGGAATTCTTCCAGGGCTTTAAGATCAGTGAAAGTCAGGGCTGTGGCACAATCTCCAGATATGGCCATCAAGTCCTCCCCCCGCCCATGGCCACCTGTGGCTCCTGACATCAATAGGTAGGCCCTACTTCCCCTCCCCTGGAATTGGGCTGGCCTAGTAACTGGCTCTGACCAATTCAAAGTGGCAGAAACAACACTCTGGCAGCTAACAGCTTCTACTTCCCCCTGTTGGAGGTCAGCTGCCAAGACTAGATAACTGAATGACTTGAGGCACATGTAGAGTTCTGAAGGAAGAGAGACCACTGTGGTCATTCCAGTCTAAACCTTGCTCCCAGGTGAATGCAGCCACAATGAGTGGCCTCAGCCTTTAGCACATGAAGAAGAACTACTCAGTCAATAGTCAATCCACAGAATCAGAAGAAATATCAAGTACTTATTATTTTAAGCCACTACGTGTTAGGGTGGTTTGTAATGCAGCAATAGGTGATTCAGATACCAGCTTCTGAACTACTGGCCCATGAAATACTATAACCCTTATTATCTGGCAAATGTCTCAAGGTGAGTTCTGTGTAACTCCACAGATGTTATACAGTAACCCACTACTTTATATCTCCTTTGCTACCCCCACTCCCTTACCTCAGCTTCTGCCTGGACCACCACCACAGCCACCTATTGGTCTCCCTGCTGCCACTCTTATCCCATAGCACATAGTCTCCACTTAGAAGCCAGTCTTTTCTTTAAAAAATAATCTAGTAAATTCACTTCCTTTGATCAAAACTCATGTGTGGCTTCCCACTGTTTTCAAAATACAATCTACTCCTCATTTGGGATTTGCAGGATCCTATGTGATCTGGCCGATTAATCTCTGACCTCACCTCCCACCACCAGCTTCCTCTGCCACCATGTTCCTGCTACATACACTGAACGTACTCCTGCCTTATAGTCTGCACCTGGGGTGTTCTGCCCGGAAACTTTTTCCACCTGGCCCCTTTTTTGTAAATCAGAACTAAGCACCCACGTTACCTCCTTAACCATCAGGTAGGAAGTAGTGCCACTGGCCTCTATCCCCAGCCTGCTACAGCTTCACATTATAGGCGGTTATCTTACTTGTTCAGTTAGTGTCATCTTCCCGCTCAACAGCATAAGCTCCAGAAAGGCAGATATCTTCTCAGTATTATTTACTGCAGTATTACTAGCTAGACTAGTGCTGTTTGGCACATATTAAATATTCAGTTTGCATTTGCTGAATAAGTAGAGGAAGGAAAAAAAATAAATAAAGCATCCCAAAATTTACTAAGTTTGAAAAATGTTAAATGAGTTTCTTTAAACATCGTTTTAAACAAAATGGAGAACTAGGTGGGCTGCTTGCTCCTTTCCCTAAGTCCGACCTGGGAGATCCCAAAAGTGAGAGGGAAGGTGTAACACATAAAGGCTGTGAGAACCAGCATAGGGAATGAGGGGCTTCCTAGTTATGCCACTTCCTCTGCCATTCTGCTCTGGGTGTATTTCTACCAGTTGACTTGGCCAGCCAGGCATGAGTTGGGAGAGTAATGTTGGAACAGCACAGGAGGCAGAGAAAAGACAGCATTCCAGACGGCCACAGAGCATTCTCTAACCCTGAGCAATAACAGCAGAGGGAGGTAAACAGTAGCACCTGGGTCAGAGGTCCTGGGAGGTTCCTTGAGAGATGAGGCTGCCTGCATTGTGAAAAAAGTTGAAGAAAGGATGTATTGGAGCCCAGAAGTTCCCTAAAAGTTCTGAGAAGGTCACAAGCTAGGCACTAGGCTTTGCATCTCCTCTGAGGTGTATACTAGCAGCAAAGGTAGCTGCTAAGAGTAAGGTTATGAGCTCATTGGGGTGTGTGGGGGGGTGGGCATGTAAATAAAGAGTGCAAGAAACAAAACAATAAAGCATTAAATAAACTGTACCGGAAAAAACAGAATT